AAATACTGCATGTTCTCACTTATAAGGGAGAGCTAAACGATGAGAACATATGGACACATAGAGGGGAACAACATGCAGTGGGACCCCAGGAGAGTGAAGGGTAGGAGGAGGGAGAGAAGCAGGAAAAATAACTAACGGGTACTATGCTTAATACCTGGGTGAGGAAATAATCTGTACAACAATCCCCCATGACACAACTTTACCTATGTAACAAACTTGTACATGAACTTAAAATAAAGGTTAAAATAAAATTCAACTTTTAAAATAAATATGGGAATATTCATATTTTTTTGATTTTACTTTTTGTCAGTTTTGTTAATCCATGGCTTTCATGAATTTTTTCCTTTTTGTCTAAGTTATTAAATTCATTGGCATAAAGTTTTTCATGATATTCTCTTATGTTGTAATGCTTTTAGGGTTTACAGTGATACTGTCTTTATTCCTAATATTTGCATCTTGTTTTTCCCTCTGTCTCTCTTTCACTGCTTCTTAGTCTTTCTTGGGGTGGAAACTTAGATTATTAATTTTACATCTTTTTTATTTTATAACATAGGCATTTAAAGTCATGGATTTCACTCTAAGTGTTGTTTTAGCTGCATCCCACAAATTTTAATACATAATTTTTACATTATCATCCAGTTCAAAATATTTTATTTTCCTTATCATTTTTCTTTGACCTATGAAGAAATGTATACTTAATTTGCAATTAGGGGTTGTGCAGAAATGGTTAACATGGCAGGCTTGAGACTGCTATCTCTAGAAAGGTCTGCTTACAAGATTGGCCCTTGGCTGCTATCTGGGAACTTAGTTTTCAGGAAGGTTCCACCATTCTGTAACTGATAAGAGTGGCTCACTATGTCTATACTTTATGCAAATAAGTGCTTTGTGATAAGTATCTGCTTTCTTTCTGGGTTCTGGAATTTGGGTCCATGGTAGGTAGAGGATGCCTATGTGAGTGATCTCCCAATAAAAACCCTGGACATCTAGGCCCAGGCCAGCTTCCCTGGTAGAAAACACTTCACACAAGTGTTGTCACAATTCATTGCTGAAGTAATTGTTTCCTGTGTGACTCTATGACTCCACTAGGAAAGGACTCTTGGAAACTTTTGACTGTTTTCTTCAGGTTTTGCTCCATGCTCCTTTTCCCCTTGCTGATTTTGTTTTGCGCCATTTCCTTTGCTGTGCCCAATTTTCTGTTGTCTTTCAAATACACTTTTCACATTTGATATAACATTTTTTTCACTTTAATATTCCCATTTTTAAATATAGTTTTCATTTGTGTGCTAAAATTCTCTATCACACTTATTGTTCACCTTTCCCACTGTCTGTTTTATTTTTATTTTTTGAGATGGAGTCTTGCTCTGTGCCCAGGCTGGAGGGCAGTAGTGCAATCTCAGCTCACTGCAACCTCTGCCTCCCTGGTTCAAGGGATTCTCCTGCCTCAGCCTGCTGAGCAGCTGGGACTATAGGTGCATGCCACCATGCCTGGCTAATTTTTGTATTTTTAGTAGAGATGGGGTTTCACCATGTTCGCCAGGTTGATCTTGAACTCCTGACCTCAAATGATCCACCTGCCTTGGCCTCCCAAAGTGCTAAGATTACAGGAATGAGCCACCGTGCCCACAGCACCCAGCCCTACTGTCTTTTTTTAAGAGATGAGGACATGTTTTGTTTTGTCTAGGAAAATGTTTGGATTTTCTCTTTTACATTTATTTATGAATAAGGAGGAGGAAAGTAAAGTAATATAAAGCAGACTGGACCTAGAGTTAAAAGACTTGGATTTAAGCTCCAGTTCTGCCACTTTTGTGTTTTTTAATGCTTCAGGCTTAGTATTATTATTATTATTTCAATCGTTTTGGGGAAACAGGTGGTGCCTGATTACATGGATAAGTTTTTTAGGGGTGATTTCTGAGATTTTGGTGCACCCATCACCCGAGAAGTGTACACTGCACCCTATGTGTAGTCTTCTATCCCTCATGCACCTACCAAACTTCTCCCTGAATCCCCAGAGTCCATCATATCATTCTTATGCCTTTGTGTTCTCATAGCTTAGCTCCTACTTATAAGTGAGAACACATGATGTTTGGTTTTTCCATTCCTGAGTTACTTTACTTGGAATAATGGTCTCCAACTCCATCCAGGCTGCTGCAAATGCCATTGTTTCATTTCTTTTTATGATTGAGTAGTATTCCATGATATATGTGTACGTATATATGCATATATATGTGTGTGTATATGTGTGTGTGTGTTGTGTATGTGTGTGTATGTATGTGTGTGTGTATATATATATATAAAGTCTCCATACTGTTTTCCATAGTGGCTGTACTACTTTACACTCCCAACAGCAGTGTAAAAGTGTTCCCTTTTCACCACATTCATGCCAACATTCATTATTTTTTGATTTTTTGATTAAGGCCATTCTTGCAGGAGTAAGGTGATATTGCATTGTGGTTTTGATTTGCATTTCCCTGATAATTCCCACTATCTTCTTTAACATGTTTTTAATATTTATTTTAAAGTATTTGTCTCTAATCCAACATTTGCACCATCACTACATTTCCTTCTATTGATAATTCATTTCCTGTCCATGGGTCACATTTCCTTTCCTCTTTGCATATTTTATAATTTTTTAAATCATATGCCAGCCACCTGGTGGAAAGAACAGTCAAAACTGAAGTAAAAAAACATTTATCCCAGCAAAGGGCACACTCAGTCTCCTGTTAGGCCTCAAGTGTGGGGATCTGAGTTAATACATCTGTAGTTACCAGAGTCTAGGCTTTGTTGCAGCTTTAGTTAGGGTCTATGTAATGCTCGCTTCCAGGTTGGATGCAGTGGCTCACACCTGTAATCACAGCACTTTGGCAGGCTGAGGCAAGAGGATAGCTTGAGGCCAGGAATTGGAGAACAGCTTGGGCAGCATAGCGAGACCCTATCTCTATAAAAAATATAAAAACTAAAATTAAAATTAAAAAATGTAGCTTCAAACATATTGAAGGTGGGAACATAACTTTCTCTTGATGAGAGAACATTGATGAGACTGGAGATTTCTTTATGCTTTATATCCTAGCCACCAGCTTTCTCAACCTTGAGAAATCTGTATCTGCTTCATAGCTCAGCTGCCAGGTTCTGGGTAGCTGTCAAGTTCTCTTTTTTTGCCAGTCCCACTGTTGCTTTTCATGCTTCGGTAATCTCTCTCTTTCCTGCTGCCCTGTCCCATCGCTTGGAGTGTAGCTGCAGAACTTTCCATGAAGGAGTGCCATGGTGGGGCTTATTCTAGTGTTCTATTACTCTTCCCTAAGTCATCATCTGGTTATGGGAAGACCATGCCTCAAGGGTCCTCTTTCAGCTCTCTTATCTTAGTCTCAGCCTTTGGTGTACTATACTCATGCATTAGTAAGGGCCCACGGGTAGGGACTGTCAAGTAAGCACTAACTCACTCTATGGCCGAGGTTTGCTTAGATTCTAATTTGTCATGTAACACGTGGTCACTGAAAGTTCCATTTCCATTGTGTATTCTTGATACCCTTGTCAAAGATCCATTGACTGTATATGTGTAGATTTATTTCTGGGTGTTCTAATCTTTTCCGTTGGTCTATATGTCCCTTTATGTCAGTATCATCCTCTTTTGATTACTGTCATTTTGTAATATGTTTTGAAAGGAAGTGTGAGGTCTCCAGCTTTGTTCTTTTTCAAGATTGCTTTGACTATTCAGGGTCCTGTGGGTTCTATATAAACTTTAGGATTGTTTTTTCTATTTCTATAAAAAATGCCATTGGGATTTACGTAGGGATTAGATTGAATCTGTATATTCCTTTGGGTAGTATGGACATTTTACAATATTAAGTCTTCCAATATGTGAACATGGAATGTCTGTCTATTTAATTGTGACTTTTTATGTTTATTTCAGCAATGTTTTGTAGTTTTCAGTGTACAAGTCTTTCATCTCCTTAGTCATGTATACTCCTATTCTTTTTGGTGCTATTGTAAATGTAATTATTTTCTTAATTTCATTTTCATATTATTTGTTGTTAGTGTATGAAAATGCAATTGACTTTTGTATATTGATTTTTTTGTATCCTGCAACTTACTGAATTTGCTTATTAATTCTAACAAGTTTTGTTAAAGAATCTTCAGAATTTTCTAAGACATAAGTAAGACAATGTCATCTGTGAACAGACAATTTTATTCCTTCCTTTCTAACTTGGACGCCTTTTATTTGTTTCTCTTGCAGATTGCTCTGTCTAGGACTTCCGGTATTATCTTGGATAGAAGTGGCCAGAGTGGTCACCATTGTCTTGGTCCTAATCTTAGAGAAAAAGTTTTCAGTTTTTCACCATTGAGTGTGATGATGTTAGATGTGAGCTTTTCATATGTGGGCTTTATTAAGTTGAGGCAATTTCCTTCTATTAGTTTATTTCTAATTTGATAAGAGTGCCAAGAATACACAACGGGAAAAGGACAATCTCTTCAATGGTTTTGGGAAAACCGAGTATGCATATGCAAAAAAGATAAAATTGGAGCCCATTTTACACCATATAGAAAACCACTTCAAATGGGTTAAGGACTTAAACATAAGACTTGACAATGTAAAACTCTTAGAAGAAAACATGGGGGGAAGCTTCATAACATTGATCTTAGCAATGACTTCTTGCATATGACATCAGAAAGCACAGACAACAAAAGCAAAAATAGAGAAGTAGGATTACACATAAAATGTAAATACACCCAGTGAAGGAAATGCACAGCAAAGGAAAAAACTCATCAGAGGGAAAAGGCAACCTACGGGATGGGAGAAAATATTAATATTTGTAAACCACATATCTGATAAGAGGTTAATTGCTATAATGTATAAAGAATTCTTACAACTTAACAGCAAAAAAACCTCAAATAACTCAATTTCTAAAAATAGACAGACGACTTTGTCTTAGTTCATTTTGGCTGATATAACAAAATACCTTAGACTGAGTGGCTTTTAAACAACAAAATTTTATTTTTTGTAGCCTGGAGCCTGGGAAGTTCAAGATCAAGGCGCCAGCAGATTAGATGTCTGGTAAGGGCCCACTTCCTGGTTCATAAATGGCAATCTTCTCATTATAATCTCACATGGTGAAAGGGACAGTGAGTTCTGCAGGGTCCCTTTTATTAAAGCACTAATCCCATTCATGAGAGCTGTTTCCTTATGATCCAATCTCCTCTCAAAGTTCCCATTTCTAAACACCATCACATTGGAGATTAAGGTTTATGACGGTTAATACTGAATGTCAACTTGATTGAATTGAAAGATACAAAGTATTGATCCTGGGTGTGTCTGCGAGGGTGTGTTGCCAAAGGAGATTAACATTTGAGTCAGTGGGCCAGGAAAGGCAGACCCTCCCTTAATCTGGGTGGGCACAATCTAATCAGCTGCCCGCCTGGCTAGAATATAAGCAGGAAGAAAAATATGAAAAGAGAGACTGGCCTAGCCTCCCAGCCTACATCTTTCTCTTGTGCTGCATGCTTCCTGCCCTTGAACATCAGACTCCAAGTTCTTCAGTTTTGGAACTTGGACTGGCTCTCCTTGCTCCTTAGCCTGCAGATGGCCTATTGTGGGACCCTGTGATCATGGGAGTTAATACTTAATAAACTCATATACATATATATATATAATATATATATACACATATACATATTCCATTATATATTCTATTAGTTTTGTCCCTTCTAGAGACCCCTGACTAATACTGATTTTGGTACCAAGAGTCCTTCTAGAGGAACAGAATATTAAGGATGGAGTTCTTTCATTGATTTTGGAGTTTCTGCAGTTGGCTGCTTACTATGATTAGTACTCCAAAATGCTAATGACTCTACTTCCAATAGTATGGAGAACACTGATAGTCCTTGATGGGAATTGTTTAGCGAGTTATGCAAAATAAATGCATTTGACACGCCTGATTCATTACTCGTGAGAGGCAAGGAGTTTAGTGACTCTATACATAATACCTTTGACCATTATGTGGAGAACAAAGGAACATAATGAAGCTGGTTGGTTGCTGCTAATTTCCATGGACAAAGTGATGAAAGAAAATGATGAACTCAGCAATTCTATCTCCCAGCTTCAGAAGCAGATACTGAACCTCAAATCTGCTAAGATTGCCCTGAGTGAGAGTCTTCTCTCCTGTAGAGAAAGAGCTGAAATTGTGGAAAAATAGACACAAGCTCTTATCATGCAAGTGGCTCACCTGCAATCAAAGGTGCATGCACAGCCTTGCCAGGTGTCTACTGTTAAAGTGAGGGCATTGATTAGAAAAGAATGGGACCCTGCAACTTGGAATGGGGATATGTGGGATGACCCTGATGAAGCTCGAGACACTGAGTTTGTAAACTCTGATAAACCTTTTTTGCCAGAAGAAACAGCTTCCCCTTCCCCATCCCCAGTAGTGGCAACATCCCCTCCCAACCCATGCTGCCATCAGCCTTTCCGCCTTTGTGTCAGGAAATAAACCCTGCCCTGCCTAAGGCAACAGTGATGGCCTCCCCTGAAGCAGTTTCCAGGCAAGATAATGTTGATTCTCCTCAGGAGCCACCCTAGCACTTCCGTTTGCTTCTAAACCTATAACTATATATATTTTCCATTAGTTCTGTCACTCTAGAGAACCCTGACTAATACAGGTTTCAACATATGAATTTTAGAGAGACAAAAACATTCAATATATAGGATATGTAAATAAACATTTCTCCAAAGAAGACATACATATAGACAACAGGTATATGAAAAGATGTTCAACGTCAATAATCACCAGGGAAATGCAAATCAAAACCACAATGAGATATCACCGCATACCTGTTACAATGTCCATTACAAAAACAAATCCTATAACAAGCGTTGGCTAGAATGTGGAGAAATTGGAACACTTGCACTCTGTTGGTGGGCATGTAAATGCTGCAGCCGTTACGGAAAACAGTATGAAAGGTCCTCAAAATACTAAAAATTGAACTACCATAGGACCCAGAAATCCCGTTTGTGAATATGTGAGCTTGAAGGAGGTAATATAGCCAGTGGCTAAGGATACAGGCTCTATAGTCAAAGTATCTGGTTTCAGAACCTGGTTTAACCACTTACTAGCTATGTAACCCTCAGCAAAGTACATAACTTCCCTGTGCCTCAGTTTCCTCATCTATAAATTGAAGAAAGTAATAGTACCTCCCTCTCAGGATTGTTTTTGGGGCTTAAATATGATAATTAGTCCACATAAAGTCCTTATAACAGTGTCTGGCATATAGTGAGCACTTAGTCCATGCTAGGTGGAGATGTGTGGCAGGCAGTTGGAGATCCACAGGTACAGACAGCAATCGTCGGCATGGGGATGAAAGTGAGCATCCGGGAAGCATTCACAGAGCAGGGTCCTCAACCAGGTCTATAGATGAGAAGCACCTGAGGAGCATTTTCAAAGTACATGGGGGTTCGCAACCCCGGCCCTCATAGGGTGTGATTCTGTAGTGTTGAAGTATTCTCTAAAATCTTATTTTGATATATATCCCTAGGGGAAAGTCACTCATATGGAGCAAAAAGTGACCCTAGAAGAAGCTTCGCAAACAAGTACAGCATTTCAGAAGTGCACAAAGGGGATTGGGAAGAAATGAGTGGATGGTAAAAGGATGATAGAGGACAGCACAAATGGTGTGTGTGTCTGTGTTGTCTTTGGGCTTGATCCAGTGTGACTGATGTGTGAGTCCAGGTGTTGGTTCACCCCAGATGTCAACCCAGGCAGAAATCTGGACTTAGATTTGAGTCCTTTTGATGGCTAAGGGTTTCATAGAGGGCCCAGAACTGAGGGGTCCAGAGGAAGATCCTAGAAGGATGAGGAGAAAGGTAGCCAGGTGGCACCTCTGACCAGACTTTTCAGAGTCAAGAAGGTGGAAGACAGGGTTTCCCAAATTTTGCTGTTTTAGCAAAAGCATTTTTATTTATACTCAGGGCCCACAGCATGAGGTCATTCCAAATATGTACACTGCTTGATGTCCTGGGCCTGGGTTTTACCATTCTTTTTCATTCTCTCAGCTCCTGATTCATCACCAAAAACCTATGGATCCAAGAAAAAATTCCAGTTAGTGGATTGTCAGTGCCGAACCCTGGCAAACCAGGTAACAACTATGGGCCCAGGAAACCGAAGACAGCCTTCAATCCATAGTTACTGAGCATGTGCTGTGCATTCAACTCACTACTGAAAGATAGGGATAAGGAGAGGAAGTGTGGACACACTGTCACCAAGAAATCGATGCCTCCTTCTCCTCCAAATCAGGAATAAAGAGCAAATCTCTATAGTTTGTCAGTTTGTGTCTAGCGGGAGGGGAAGCAGCGAGAACAGAAAACAATACGTGCCTGACCAGGTCGCTGCAAACGCTGCCCAGGGCCAGGAAAAGTGGCTGAAGCTCAAAGAGAATCCTTAGGACTCTTCTGCACCTCTCTGGGACTGAGGCGTGGACTGAGCGGCCTCCCTGGGTGGAGCACACTACCATTGCCATCATCAGGACTATGACACCTTCATTCCTAACAGTTAGGTCAAGGACCTCTAGTATTAGAATTAGATTCCTAGACCTGCCTCAAATTTCCAACATCAAAACCTTGTTGGCAGAGCCCAGAAGATTTGCATTTTTAACAAGCTCCCAGGTGGCTAGGTGACTAAGCACAGCACCCAGCCTAGATTCTTCACATTACAGGGGCAGAAAGAGGATCCAGCATAATGCTAAGAGGTCAGCACAATGAGAAAATTCTGGGCTCTTCATTCAGGAAAGCCGCTGGCTGGCCAAGGCCCCCAGGCACATTGTGGACATGCAGTACTTAGCCCACTGCACTTTGTCCCTGTCACACATTCCAAGGTGGGATGAGCGGGCACAGAAGTAGGGTGCTGCCATCAGACAGACTTGAGCTCCACATCTAGCTCTAAACATAGCTCTGAATTCTGGCAATTATTCCATGTTTTTGAGTTTCAGTTTCTTACTATGAAAATTGATCATAGTATCTTTTTCCAAGAGTTTTGTGGGGATTAAATGACATAATGCATATCAAGCCCTTACCACAATGCCTGGTACAAAGAATGCACCAATGGATGTTACTTGACACTAATTTATCAACAGACTGTGACCTCCCAGACGGCAGGCAACATACCAGACCTGGCCCACAGAGGGCACTCAGTTAGTGTTTGTAGAACTGAAGAAAGCTATTAATTCTGTTGGCGCTAAACAAAGATCTGAGATTTCTACAAATATAAAGTCCACAAATACATAACCATAAAAAGGAACTGGGGTGCAGCTGCCCTTCCCCCACTTCCATGTCCCCGACCCCGCTTTCTCTCCTCCCCTTCCTGTCCTTCTATTTCTCTTTTTTATTTTTGAGACAGGGTCTCACTGTCACTTTGTCACTCAGTCTGGAGTGCAGTGGTACAATCTCAGCTCACTGCAGCCTCAACCTCCTGGGCTGAAGTGATCCTCCCACCTCAGCCTCCTGAGTAGTTGGGACCACAGGAATGGGCCACCATGCCCAGCTAATTTTTGTAGAGACAGGGTTTTGCCATGTTGCTCGGGCTGGTCTTGAACTCCTGGGTTCAAGCCAAGGCAGGGGTGAGGCACCGCGCCCGGTGATAGCCCTTCCTTTCTTTGTATATGACTTTCCTCCTTCATTTTATGTAGTTATAATAACAAAAGCTAATAATTACTGGGTGCTGGCCACATGTCAGACACTGTCCTCAGTTCTGCAGATGTATTATCCCAGTGAATCCTCACAACAACCTGGGAGGCTGACTATGGCACGATCCTCACTTTAAGATGAGTAAACTGAGGAACAGGGAGGTTAAGAGATTTTCCCCAAATCCCACGACCTGAACATGATGGAACCAGGAAGGGAGGCCAAACAGACTTTGTGCTCCAGATGCTGGAGAAGTGTGAGTGTGTGTGTGTGCAGTGTTGTTTGTGATGTGGTGGCTATGTGTGTGTAACATGTATGTGTACAGTGTGGAGTATGGTGGCTATGTGTGCATAGTGTGGTATGTCTGTGGTGTGATGCATGTGTGGTTGTGATGTGTGTGTGTGATATGTGTGTGTGTGTGTGTGTGTGTGTGTAAGGAAGGTCAATGGGGGAGTATGGAATGCTTGCCCTCTGCACTTGCCCCACCTGAGGCCCTTGCAGAGTTACCAAGTTCCAGCCCTACTGACCTCTCTCTTTCATCCTTGCTAACAGGAAGAGATCCTGCCACGCCTGGGGGAAGGGGAGAAAGTAGCCAGGAGGCCAAGGCAGGAGGATGAGGGTCACCTATGAGAAGGAGTTGGGCTCTTCTGCCCCAGGCCTTTCCTCATTCTGTCCCTTCCTTGGTCTTGTGTGCACCAAGTCCCCAAGACACCACCAAGAGTGTTTGCCAGGTCCCGTGGCTGTGAGCATCTCCTGGATCAGCCTGAACCCATGGCACTGATGAGCTCCTTGTCCCAGCATGAAGTTCCCCCAGCCTTGGGGCTGTGATGCCAACAGGACAGTGTGGTCCAGCACGCTGCCTGGTCTCACCCTTGCAGCAGACTCACTCCCACCATTTCATGAGTTTGTCGTGCAGCTGGTGTGCCTCAGATCCAGGCTAGAGAGCATCTGCCTGGTGCTGCACACCAATGATGCGTGGAGCTGGGCTCTGCAGCCCCTCTGCATGGCTGCCCTTGGAAGAGTCCTGAATGCAGTGCCGTGGGTTCCAAAGGGCCAAGAGGATCCTCTTGTACTCCCTGCGGAAGTTTTGATTCAGGAGCCCATAGACAATGGCATTCAGGCAGCTGTTGAAATAAGCCAGTAAGTAGCTAGTGACAAATAGCCCCTCAGGGATCTGGGGAGCCATTTCTTGTGGGTTGATGGCCACAGCAAGGCCGATGCAGTTAAGTGGGGCCCAGCAGACGGCAAAGATCACAAACACCACAAACATGGTTAGAAAGCTCCGCAAGTTGCTGGGCCTCAGGCACAGCGTGCTCTCTGGCTTGGCTTTCCTGCGGGCCTGGAGCACCAGCACCCAGATGCGCAGGTAGCAGAAGGACACGACAGCGATGGGAAGGAGAAAGTGGATGACCACCACTGCTGCCGTGTACTGGGTGCTGGCCGTCTGGATGAAGGTGCAGGAATAGATGCGTGGGTCGTACTCCAGGGACCCCACAAAGAAGTTGGGCAGCAAGGCCACCACGGTGAGGAGCCAGACAAGGCAGATGTGCAGAGGGGTGTGCCAGCGCCTGTAGATTCGGTGGTAGGCCACGCTGTGGCAGATGTAGCAGTAGCGGTTAATGGCGATGGCAGTGATGTTGAAGACAGAGCCGATGACGCTCAGGCCCATCACAAAGGCGCTGGCCTTACAGTGCTCCTCCCCCAGGGCCCAGCCGTCATAGAAGATGGCCACGAGGATTAGCGGGTAGGGGTACAAGGCCACCACCAGGTCAGCCAACGCCAGACTCACCAAGAACAAATTACCTGAAGCAGCAAACAGAGCAACAGTCAGCACAAGACCCCACAACTTAGATTCTGTAGAACATCCTACCCTTCACGAAGTTACTTTTGGCAACGTGAGTGGAAACAAAGTGGCTCCTAGAGGTGCAGAACTGAAGACTCAGATGCATTTCTGCCATTCACTAGCTATATGACTGAGGCAAGCTATTTAAGCTCTCAGAACCCCATTTTCCTAATTTGTGAGCTAGTGTCAGTGATACCTACCTCATGGTATAGCTGTAAGAATTAATGATACAAAGTTCTTGGGGATTTCACAGGTGCTCACACATGCTAACTGTTTCCATGATAGGCACAGATGCTCAGGGGCTTTGCATCATTGAAGTTCCAGCAAAGATTTCGGAGGAGGAGAGTCTGAAAGTGAGGAGTGTGGATTTCTCATCACTACCATCCCTCCCTCTCACTCCCTCACCTCCCTACACATCTCTCTGGTGGTCTCCTTTTGCATTTTCTCCCCACTGGTTAACAGGCTACTTTCTAAGTGTCTTTAAGTGGCTTTTGTAAATGTGAATTGCATTTTGCAGCTGGGCTAGAAGAAAGGTGTTGAGAGTGGGAACCACGTGTTTCTGGTATTCCCCTTTGTGCCCTGCCTGGGCCAGTACTCCCAGCCTTGTGGCCATGTTGACAGACACTTGCAGTAGTGGCACCGAGCCCCAGCCCTGTGGGGTGAGGAAGAGCTGTCAGCACTCCTAAGCTCACAGCCTCTGGGGGACCTCCCTGCTTTGCCTGCACCATGGCAGCCTTTCTGGACTATCTATCCTTTGAATGGAGCCTTCTCTAACATCACCAAGCTTGGTCAACCAGAGAGAGCCTCAGGAAACCATACACCCATCAATTAATATGATTCAGGCATGTTCTAAGCTGAAGTGCTAGGGTGGAGGCAGGGCTTACTCCAAAAGAACACAATCTCTGCTCCAAGTGTTTGCATTCTAAAACCAACACTGACTCACGAATAGAGCACCGAGAACCTAAAAATTCGGACAATACAAAACTTATAGTGTGAGCAGTTCCATCACTAATGCCAATTGTCTCATTCACCAAGTGTTGTACTTTTTGAATACCTACTGTATGCCCAAAAGATAACAGATTCTCCCTCCAGCAGGGGCCCTGAGTGATGCAGTGTGCACTGGGCATGTCTTTAAAATTTTCTGGTCTCTTGCCACATGGTGAAGCCTCTGGTCTTAGGGTGGCTGAATGCAGAGGGTGGCTTGGGATGGTGTGAAGGAGTAACTCCCAAGTCAGCAAAGACACGGACATGGAAACTCCACGGCCACCATGTGTCTGTCCCATTGCCACAGAGGCTGTGATGGCTTCAGGGGTCTAGAGGGTCAGGCGGATGGAAAGAGCCCCCAAAGCACAGCAGTTGGAGAGGCCAGGCTGTGGATGGATTCCACAGGGTACAGAAAAAGGGAGGCTGAGAGCCACCCAGCTGGGAGTTCACCTGAGTCAGCCCTTCAAGTGAAGTAGATGCCATACCTGGACTTACCCACAAGGGTACGGAAAGGACTGCCTCCAGCCTTCCCACATTCACCCCATCTCAAAGATTTCCCGTAGCGTGGTCCGTATGGAGATGGGAACCTGAAAGACCCTCAGGCAGCCTTCACGAAGGACCTATTTAGTCTTCAGAGGTATGCAGTCAACCCCACTCAGAACCCATACAAGTCTACTGGAGTCCTGGGAGTTCTCAAGACCTAACTATAACACTACTGTGTCCACAGCTAGGTTAGGAAACCAGGGAGACAGGATGTAAATGAATAGAAAGGAGATTGTCTGGACAATGAGTGTGCTTGTGAAGTAGTGAGCTTCCCTGTCTCAAGATTGTCCAGCAGATTGGATGGCGAAGGAGAATCATGACTCGACTGAACTGCTGGATTCCTACCTACTCTACTGTTTACAGATTTATTTACTTCATGGGTTAAAAATGGCCTCATTTCCTTTCTGGCTGGTAAAGCGAGGCAAAAAGATGTGCAAGAAGGACCTGCTTGGGATGTGGAGGGGTTTCGTGCCTTTTCATTTAATTCTCAGCCCATTGGCTGTCTCCACTGCTGGATCTCCATCTCTGACTCACCTACGCAGACCTCATTTGGTTCCAGGAACACGAGAGATTCCCTCTCTCACATTGCTTGGCTTCAGCTGAATCAGGAGCCCTTGTCTCCTAGAATTTTAAGTGTCCTTTTGAAATCTGGAGGGTTGTGCTGAAGTCAGAGCAACCTGGGATAATCTGAGTCCTGCCACTTTCTGGTCGAGTGAATTTGGGCTAGTTCCCGCATTCCTTTCTGGGTGACTATTCCTTCATGAGCTCCCTTCTTTTCTTTCGGAGTGCTGCCACCACTTCCCCCCGCACACTCATAGGGTTGGTTCTGTGAAGAGAGTCACTCCTCTCCAGCACAGGAAGATGGGTCTCCACAGGACCCACTGGGCACCTAGCCCAGCAACACACAAGCTCTTGGCACTTGCAAGCTGAGCAGAGAAAGTCAAGAGCTGCTGGGAGCCGGTGCCAGCTCTGCCAGCTGTTTCCCTGGGAAGGCAGAGTCAAGTTCTGCTGTGTTAATGTGGCTTATCCCCTAATAATGCCCCAGAGGCTGGCAAACAGCTTGTAAATAGTAAGAAGAACACATTCAACTCCACGTGGAAAGTGATTCAATTACTATCCCCTATTACTCCGGCTGTTCCTAAAAGGCTGAAATCAACCACTTCCTGCTGCAGATTCATCTGCCCAGACATCCCACTGTCTCCAGGCTTTCTTGGCACAATTCCAAATTAGGTGAGTAAAATTCGTGTTTTGTCTTCCATCTGTAAGGAGCCAGGTTCTATGTGGATGACAGTCAAGGGGAGATCCAGTTCTCCATCCACTTCTTCCCCAGACAGGTGAGAAATCACTCAGTATGCACACAGCACTGCAGTCACCCTGTGCATAATGAATATTTATGTCACGAGCCCTGGCGTGACTCGTTTCCATCTGCCTCCAGCAGATAGGGTGTATTAGTGGAGAGAGGCTTTGACAACAGGGCTTTGTTCACTAACGTGGAATCCCCTTCCAGGATTCATACGCAGAGTGCATCCTTTCACACACACAACCATCACAGTCTCCTCCCTCTTCTCTTCCTCTCTCTTTCTTTCTGGAAAAAGTATTTCTTAATGGAGACCTGGTACTCTAGGAAAGAGCCAACCAGTGCTGAGCTATCTAATATTCATCAGATAGGAGAATTCTAGAAGGTAAAGCTCCCTGTAACCCTTGCCCCTCTTCTCTGTGCTCACCCTCCACGCTCAGAAGAAAAATTTGGTTAGACATAAATTCTCCTTGGTCATTGAGCTAAAAGACAAGATGGAAAGAGAGAATCATCAAGTCATTTATGTGACAAATATTGCTGCGTATATACTAGGTTCTGCCTGTGACTATGCCAGATGGACAGGCTACCTCCCCTTACAAAGTTTATGGTCTCTTAGAGAAGACCATTAAACAAATAAAAACAAGGTGCTTGGCCGGGCGCGGTGGCTCAAGCCTGTAATCCCAGCACTTTGGGAGGCCGAGACGGGTGGATCACGAGGTCAGGAGATCGAGACCATCCTGGCTAACACAGTGAAACACCATCTCTCTAAAAAATACAAAAAATAGCCGGGGGCGAGGTGTGGGGGGCGCCTGGTAGTCCCAGCTACCTTGGGAGGCTGAGGCAGGAGAATAGCGTAAACCCAGGACGGGGAGCTGCAGTGAGCCTGGATCCGCCCTGGCACTGCACCAGCCTGGTGCGGCAGAGCCCAGACTGCCCGTCTCAAAAAAAAAACAAAAAAAAAGCCACAGGTGCCAAGAGGGTTATATTGAGGAAGTCAACAAAATGATCTATGTTTCTAACAGTGTTAAACTTTCTGTGCCTTGAGGTTCTTCTTCCACTCTTCCATCTGTTTTTAATAATGTATAGATACGATTGTATTGAGTGCCTAAACCACATTCCAAGTAAGACACAGTGATGGGGATGAAAAACCGTGCCCCTGCCATTGAAGATCCCAACGGACCTGTTGGGGAAACAACAGGAGGAAACAGTAGCCATTCAATGTGGTGAGAGCTGGAAGAAAGGCAGAACACGTGGTCGCACACACAGTGGGGAATTTGTGGAGTCAACTTGGAACTGGGGACAATGGCAGGATATGGGGCCTGGGTCAGGCCAGTGACAAGTTCACCCAAGGAGCCAAGACAAAATTACCAAAAAAGACTTTTGGGGGGCAAAAACAGGACTCCCTCCACTGCCCT